GCCAGCGGCTGCGCCCATTTCGGCACACCCCTCACAAGGATCGCGACCCCCTACCAGGGAGCTTTGACGAAGGCCCCTGCGGCTGCGCCCATTTCGGCACACCCCTCACTAGGATCGCGGCACCTATGAAGAGCTCCGCCGAAAGCCCCAGCGGCTACGCCCATTTCGGCACACCTCTCACGGGATTGTGGCGCCTATACCGGGCTCCGCCGAAGGCGCCTGCGGCTGCGCCCAATTCGGCACACCCCTCACGTGGATCGTGGCCCCACTCAGGGCGGTCTACCGAGAGCCCCTGCGGCTGCGCCAATTTCGGCACAACCCTCACGAGGCTCAGCAGAAGGCGCCAGCGGCTGCGCCCCTTTCGGCACACCCCTCACGAGGATCATGGCCCCATACCAGGGAGCTCCGCCGAAAACCACAGCGGCTGCGCCCATTTCGGCACACCCATCACGAGGATCGTGGCCCCTATGCAGGGCTCCGCCGAAGGCCCCAGCGGCTGCGCCCAAGTCGGCACACCCATCACCAGGATCGTGGCCCCTATGCAGGGCTCCGCCGAAGGCCCCAGCGGCTGCGCCCGTTTCCGCACACCCCTCACAAGATCTTGGCCCCATACCAGGGAGCTCCGCCGAAGGCCCCATGCGGATGCGCCCATTTCGGCACACCCCTCACGAGGATCGTGGCCCCTTCTGAAGGGCTCCGCCGAAGACCACAGCAACTCGACTGAGACTCTACTACTAAGATTCTGTGACTGAGGCTCTACTACTGAGGCTCTACCGAGGCTCAACTACTGAGGCTCTACTAGGAGGTTCGCCTGCTGAGGATCGACCATTGAAGCTACACTACGGAGGCCCTTTCCGAGGCCCAACCAAGGAGGCCACACTACTCAGGCCACACTACTGAGGCTCTACTGCTGACCTCCTACCTCCTACATCCTACATCCAACCCCTTACCTCCTACATTCTACCTCCTACCTCCTACCTCCTACCTCCTACCCCATACCTCCTACATGATACCTCCTACCTCCAACCTCCTACCTCCGACCTCCTACCTCCTACCTCATATCTCCTACCTCCTACCTCCAACCTCCTACCTCCTTCCTCATTCCTCCTTCCTCTTTCCTTCTTCCTTCTTCCTCCCTCCTCCTCCTCCCTCCCTGCTCCTCCTCCTCCTCCTCCTCCTCCTCCTCCACCTCCTCCTTCTCCTTTGCCCTCCTCCCTCCTCTCATTCCTCTTCTTCCTCCTCCCTCCTCCTGCTCCCTCCTCCCAACTCCCTCCTGCTTCCCTCATCGCTCTCCATCACTCCCCTGGCTGAAGATGAAGCGGGATTAGCGCGGAGCCCAGGGATGCAGCCCCTGCGTGCCAGAGGTCTGACCGATCGAAGCCCGACCCGCCCCCATGGCGCGACTCGCGCAACAGGACAAGGGTGCGGGGAAAGGAAGCGCCCGACAGCCCCCCGACAAGCGCGCAGCCAGGGGCCGCATGGGGAGGGGGGTCGGACCTCGGCTGGTGGCAGAAAGCCAGGCCCCGCGCGCGAGAGGCCGTGCATGCACGGAGCGGAGCGCGGGGCGTGTAGAAAACGGCGCGCGCGCGCCAGGACGCCTCAGTTGGACCTCTGGACGTAATCGATTCCACACTGCTCAACGAGTCGTCGTGGTGGGCAGGTGATTCCCAGTCCCTATCTGCATGCCACGTTCGCACCGTCGAGCAAATATCGTCAAACCATCGCAGGCGAAGTCGACGTGGCAACCTCCTGGTCGTTCATGCGCGGCGCGGGACGAAAACTGGGAGTCCAGAGACACAACCTCCGCGCGCAAGGGAGGCCATCCATGTGGCCAGTTCCAGAAGCCAGGGATCAAGCAATACGGCATCCTTTGGGCACGCATGTGCTATTCTCGCCAGCCTCCGCCGGTTTTCTGTCAGCGGAACCGACGCCGTTCTCTTCTCGGGAGCGGCCAAGAGGGGGGTGTCCAAGAGGGGGTGTGCAAATCATGACCGGCGGCATGTGCGCGGCCCAGCGGGGGGGGCCAGGGACGTAATGAAATAAGAAGAGGCGCCATGAAATCTGGGGAAATATCATGGCCCCCGCCATGATATCCACCCCCCCTAGTCATCCCCCCCCTCTTTGCCGCCCCCGATTCTTCTGCCAGCGGAACCGACGCCGTTCTCTTCCTCCGCCGGCCTCTCGCAGCCTCCCGCCCGGAAAGAGACGTCGGCCCCAGCGGCCTCTCGAAGGCGAGGCTCTCTCTGTGGAAGGCCCCCCATGCATGGACAGGCGCGCTCCACGACTCGCAAAGAGCAACTGCCCAGGTGCGTTTTACGATCCATTACATCGAGGCGACCCATGTATCTTTCGAACGTCAAGGGCTCCCAACTTCGCGCTTCGCGCTGCGCGAAGCGCGAAGTGCGCGAAAAATTTCGCGCTCTCGCGCCGCCTCCCAGGGGAGAAGAGGAGGATGAGGAGGAATCGGAGCCGAACCGCGAAGCGCGAAGCGCGAATAACTTCGCGCACTCGAGGGCGCCCTTGGAACGTTTGCGAGCAGGGACTCTGCGAGCAGTGGAGCGCGCTCGGTGAGAAGAGAGCAGGAGGAAGAAGACTCGGAGTCAACGGGGAACACCCCCCGCGTGCGAGAGAGGCCAAGAGCCGGGGCCCCGGCCTCGTACGTCCGCATGTACCAGTGCGAGGTCGGCTTCGGGGCCGCTTCTTTTTCCCAGAGGCGCCGAGAGCGCAAGCCACACATCCCCCTCTACGCTGCCAACTGCCATCACGACCGTCAGCGACTCCACCTCCTCCTCCTCTTTTCCCTCCTGCACCCTTATGTTTTTCCCCTTCCTCCTCCATCCGTTCCTCCTCCTCCTCCTCCTCCTCCTCCTCCTCCTCCTCCTCCTCCTCCTCCTCCTCCTCCTCGTCCCCCTCGAACTCCCTCCCTCTCTCCCTCCCGCCCTCCCAAGCTCCTTCCCTCATCCTCCTCATCCTCCGTCTCCTCCTCCTTTCCCTCTTGCTTCCCCATCGGCTCTCCTGCGGTGAATCGGGCAAGGCGCACTGGAAGGTGAAGATCATCGGGTCGTCGGCCGCGAGATCCCGCGTGAAGACCATGTAAAAGTCCTGCTGGCCGTCTGGTGACCCACGGGCAAAATTGTCGGATCGAACACGACGGTGTCTTCGACCACTCCCCCCGCTTAATTGATCACGCCTGGTCGGAAAGGAGTATCCCCCGGAAAGTGCTTTACAAATGGACGAAGCCTCTCGATACATCTTTTCGGCCCCCTCCAGAGTGCCTCAAGTGCCCTGTAGGAATGCCCGGGGCGTCCTGTAGAAGTGCACTCGGCGCCCTTTAGAAATGCCTTGCCCCCCTCTTCAAGCGCCTCTAGCGCCATCTTGAAGTTGATTGAGGGCTCCTGAAAAATAGGCGGATCAACTTCGGTGGGAGTTCTGCTACGCCTTAGACGAAAACTAAATAATAAGTTAATGTCATTTATCACACAAAACTCAGGTATCCACAGTACACCACCAATACATACGTTATGAAGAACCCAGACATACTTGACATACGTAATACGTTTGACAACGGACCGATGGCAATGAAGGGTGAACAATCGATGAACAGACGCTGTCCTGCGAACGTTGCAAGAATATGACCGCTAGTCGTCGCGCACGGGACAAAGCCTATGGCCAAGGATTCAGGCAGTGGGGAGAGGAGGAGGAGAAGGAGGAGGAGGAGGAGGAGGAGGAGAAGGAAGAGTAGGAGGAGGAGGAGGAGGAGGAGGAGGAGGACGAAGAGTGAACAACATCCGGGACCAGCCTCGAATCGAGGATAAGCCAATACGCCCAAAATTGACATGCTGCCTGGCGCAAACGACGGCCAGGGCGGACGGATCTTGCCCCCCTGCGGCACACAGAAAAAAACACACACGAGGGCGGGGGGGAGGAGAATGAGGAGGGGGAGGAGGAGGAGGAGGAGGAGGAGGAGGAGGAGGAGGAGGACGAGGAGGAGAAGGAGGAGGAGGAGGAGGGGAAGAAGAGGGGAAGAGAAACAACACAATATGCTGCCATGCAGCTGCCCCCGGCATCGCTTCATACACCCCTAATGACTAGTCAGCCAGAAACCATACAACCAACACTGGACGGAGACCATGGGAAGCGGCAGAGGCTCCCAGTGAGCTGCAGCACACAACGCTGACCTTCAAGCTGCGGCATGGCGGAGAACAAGCAGCGACGACGCCAAGGGCAGGACGAGGGGCACCAGCGCCACCCAGTCATAGGCCCGAGCCAACTGAGTAGCGCGAGGCGGCAAAGCTAGATGCCTGGCGGGCAACGACGCAGCGTAATGTTAGAATGGCACCTGCGTGGGAGACAGTCACACCACATTTCGACGGCACAAGAAATCTGAAAAACTACTCCTCGGCGTGCGGTACTGCGTCCTGCGACTGCCCTCGGCGCGCTTCGTGGCAGCACTCCCGAAAGACCCCTGCGTTGTCGTCGGTAGGGACGGCGCCGTGGCGGCTCATGTTGTGGGTGCGGCAGGGCCCGTAAGCTCGGACAGCCCTATCGGCGAGCTCGCCGTCGCACATCCTGGGGGCCCCAGCGCGGAGGAACCGAGCAAGAGCCCGCTCCCGTCCAGAGGTTCCCGTAGGAGCGTCCAGACGACCCCGCAAGATGCGAAATGTCGAATCGAGTCTTGGTCGTGGCCACAGCCAAACCGGCAGAGCGTGGCATGCCCAAATCGGGAGCCGGCGCACCACCCATTGGACCGAAAACGCAGAACTGCTGCCCAGACCCGCGGCTGACACAAAGCACCATGCAGTTGCAGGGTCTCCGTAGCCGGTTCACTGCGCGGCCGAGGAAGAATTGCCAACGGCCAGTGCTCGAGCTTCCTCGTCAGCAGCGAGCGGAACTGCGCACCTGGCGTTGGTGGAACAGCTGCGCGGAGCTGCAAGGCCGCATGTTTTTGCCAACCCAACTGCTTGCGTCATCTCGGGTTGAGAGGGTCCTGGCCTGTGCACCTGAACGCGAAGGTGCCTCCTGTGAAAATAGACTGCAGGCAGCCTGCTTCCATGAGCCAAACCAAGCAACTCTGGCCAGCGAAGCCACCAACCAAACACCCCAGGGCGGCCATAGCACGGGTCCTCTGGGGAATCTCCAGGCTGCCTCCCGCCTCATATTGGCCAACCCTCGACTTGGCCGCCGTCATGGTCGACTTCACGTCCGTCAGGCTCGCCGGGAAGCAGAAGTGGCCGAGTTCCTACAGGGCCTCGGTGGAGATCCAATCACATGGGCCTGGGAGAGGCGCCACGCTGTCCTCACAACGGCGGTTGGCAGGCCCCCGGGGGGGCGCTCCAACAGGCCCACGAACAAGAGAACAGAAACCATGTAGACACGCACGGCTGTCAGGGTGAATGGGAAGCACTCTCCACGGGGGCCCCCCATAGTCTGCCCGCGACGCGAACTTAAGCAGAAGTTTGGCCCAGGCCAGCTGCGCCCTGCTGGGCCCCAGGTAGGCGTCGAGGTACTTGGCGGGGCTGGCCATCGCCATCCCCGCCCATCCGGGAGCGCACGTCCGAAGCAGCGCCCGCGTGTGCTCGATCGCGACCGGGTCCAAGGGCACCGCCGCCCAGTTCCCCACGTTCTGATGCAGACCGGAGGTGAGGGCGAACTCATCGGACAGCTGCTTGAAATGAGGGGGCTGCGGGCCTTCGCTCGCCAGCAACATCGCCAAGTTGCGTACGAAAGCGCGGTACCTGGCTGGCGCAGCGCCCGGTTCTCGTGAGGAAGGGGCGTTGAAGGGCAGCCTTGCCGAATCCCCTGGGTCTGCACGAAGCCCTCATATCTCCCAGAAGTGCCGCAACATTTGCACGCATGAAGATGACCAACCAAAGCGGCCATCCCAGATGCTGGAAGATCGCGATGAAGATATGCTGCTCGATGGAAGGGAAGGCTGCAGCACAATCAAAGAAAATTAATAAGCCCCCTGTTTCTGCAGCCGCGCAGCGAAGCGTCTCCTTCTCAATGTCCGCGATGTTGCTGGGCATCGACCGCCCGCGAATGAAGCCCTTCTGCTCCTCGGTGATGAGAGGGCCCAAGGCAGGCTCCAGCAGCCACCGACAAGCGCTGGCCATCAGCACGTTGTCGGCGCCGGTGATGACGCGCGGCCGCACGCAATCAACGGCCTTAAGGTGCTGTCCCATCTTCGGTCTCCCCGCTGGGCCGCTTCAGGAAGATGATCAGGAGGCTGGCGTTGAAGTCTAGCCAGAGCTCGCGCAGCGCATCGGCGTCGTTCAAATCACAGATATCCTGGAACCCCTGGAACAGCACATCAATTGACAAATCCCAGAGTTTGCGCCATGCTGCGTAGGGGATGCCGTCGGAGCCATGGGCGGAGTTGTTCGATTGCTTCAAGGCTCGTTTGATGTGACGTCGTTGGATCCGAAATTCACGAAGTTGCTGGTGCAAGGGGCTGTGGGCCTCTCGTTGAAGCCCATCGTCCTGCAGCCACTCCCCTAGCAACTCCTCGCTGACTTCCCTGGCGGTGAAGACCCTGCCCCAAAGTAGAATTAGCATACGTATTAAACCTTCCAGGCACACTACATATTACAACACATTGCTGCCCGCGCGCCATTCAACATGTAGATCCCAAACCCTTGGTAACCGTCATCTTCGTCTTCGGCTGTACCCCCTCTTGGGTGTATATCCTGCTTACCTGTGAGGTGCAGGTGTACATCTTGCTTACCTGTCGGGTGTAGTCACGGGAAGCGAGGGAGGAGGGAAGGGACAAGGGGGAGGGAGAGAGATGGATGGAGCACGAGGGAGATTAGCAGGAGCGGGGAGGAGCAGGAAAACAAGCGGCAAAAGCAGACGGATGGTTTGAGCGGGCGGGCCCTAATGAGCGGGTCGGGCAGGCGGGCCCAGACGGCTGGGTCGAGCGGGCGGGTCGCTAAAGCGTGAGTCCTGCATGAATCGCAAGGACGTCTCAAGCGATAGCGCGATTCCCAAGTAAATCGTGAGGAGGTCCAGAGCGAGAGCCTGAATCCTCAGTGTCGAGGGTGCGTGAGGAGGTCCCGCGCGAGAGCGCAATTTTGAATCCGCCGGCCCCCTTGTGGGGCCACCAGGCTGCGGGACGAAGGTTCGCACCTTTCCTGTACCAGTTGCAGCTTCCAGTTTCCACTGTTACAGTTCTGCTTCTTGCTGCTTACTGTTCCTTGTTACAGTTATGCTTCTTGCTGCTAACTGTTCCTTGTTGATGGACCGCGCGAGGGGGGGAGACCCAAAACGGGTATTTTTACCACGCCCTGAGCGTGTGCTCTGAATTGCTGGGGTGGGTAAAAATTGACACCTATCACGCAGATCGGCGGGGTCAGGGTCCAAAAACACAAAGGATTTGCCACAGTTCTGAAAATTTGCTGGCACCCCTCACTGAGATCGGCGGGATCAGGGTCCAAAAACACAAGGGATTTACCACATTTCGTAAATTTGCTGACACCCCTCACGCAGATCGGCGGGGTCAGGGTCCAAAAACACAAAGGATGTGCCACATTTCTGACATTCGGTGGCACCCCTCACGCAGATCGGCGGGGTCAGGGTGCAAAAACATAAGGGATCAGCCACATTTCTAAAATTCAGTGGCACCCCTCACGAAGATCGGCGGAGTCAGGATGCAAAAACACAAGGGATGTGCCACATTTCTGACATTCGGTAGCACCCCTCACGCAGATCGACGGGTCAGGGTCCCAAAGCACAAGGGATATGCTACATTTCTAACACTCGATGGCACCCCTCACGCAGATCGGCGGGGTCAGGGTCCAAAAACATACGGGAATTTCCACATGTCTGAAATTTGCTTGCACCCCTCACGCAGATCGGCGGGGTCAGGGTCCAAAAACATAGGGGATTTGCCACATTTCTGAAATTCGGCGGCACCCCTCACGCAGATCCGTAGGGTCAGGGTCCAAAAACATAAGCGATTTGCCTTGCCATATTTCTGAAATTCGGTGGCACCCGTGACGCAGATCCGTAGGGTCAGGGTCGAAAAACAAACAGGTCCCGACACTGCTTCACGGCGGCGCCCAGACCTCATCATTTAGATTTTGCATCTCCCATTATCCGAGACAGGGGGCCGGCGGCATGGGGCGAGGCAGTGGCATGCGGGAGCCGCTGTTGAAGTAAACCAGGGGCCAAGGGTACAATTTTGGGCCCCAAGACTTCCCCAAGGTGTGAGCCCCGGGAGGTGCAATCGAATAACATCAATCCAAATGGGCACCAGAGAGGGAGGATTAATAACAACACTAATTCTTAAACATGCGATTTCAACCTGATCGTCATCATCATCATCATCATCATCATCAGCAGCAGCAGCAGCAGCATCATCATCACAGAATCGCCATCATCACCATCATCACCATCATCATCAACATCATCATCATCACCATCATCATCATCATCATCATCATCACCATCATCATCATCATCATCATCATCATCATCATCATCATCATCATCATCATCATAATCAGCATGATCATCATCATCAGCAGCAGCAGCAAAATCATCATTATCATCATCGTCAGTGCCATCATCAGCAGCAGCATCATCATGATCAGCATAATCATCATCATCATCATCATCATCATCATCATCATCATCATCATCATCATCATCAGCATCGTCACCATCATCATCATCATCATCATCACCATCATTATACTCGTCATCATCATTAGCAGCATCATAATCATCATCATTAGCATCAGCATCATCATCATCGCCATCAGCATCATCATCAGCAGCAGCAGCATCATCAACATCATCATAATCATCATCGCCATCATGACAATGATCATTATCGTCATCATTAGCAGCATCATCGTCGTCGTCGTCGTGATCAGCATCATCATCAACATAATGATCATCAGTATCATCATCATCATCATCATCATCATCATCATCAGCAGCAGCAGCAGCTCATCATCTATATCAGCATCGTCGTCGTCAGCTTGTCATCATCATCGTCGTCATCGTCATCAGCATCAAAACCATCATAATCATCATCAGCAGCATCATCGTCATCGTCATTGATACCATCATCATCATCAGCATCATCATCCGAATAATAGTCGTCATCATCAGCATCATCATCATCGTCATCATCATCAGCATCATAATCGTCATCATCATCGCCATCATCATCCTCAGCAGCAGCGTCATCGTCATCAGCAGCATCATCAGCATCATGATCATCAGCATCATGATCATCAGCATCATCAGAATCATGATCATCATCATCGTCGTCATCATCGGCATCGTCGTCGTCGTGATCAGCATCATCACCAAACATAATGATCATCAGCATCATCATCAGCAGCAGCTCATTATCATTATCAGCATCGTCGTCGTCAGCTTCTCATCATCATCGTCGTCATCAGCAGCACCAGCATCATCATCATCATCATCATCATCATCATCATCATCATCATCATCATCATCATCATCATCATCATTTTCAGTATCATCAGCATCATCAGCAGCATCAGCATCAGCATCATCATAGTCATCATTGCCATCATCATCATCCTCATCTTCATCAGAATCATCATCGTTATTATCATCATCAGCAGCATCATCATCACCGTCATCATCATCATCATCATCAGCATCATCGTCATCTCCATCATCATCATAATCAGCACCACTGTCACGGTTATGAGAACCAGCATCATTACCAGACAGAATCATCATCAACATTATGATCATCAGCATCATCAGCAGCATCATCATCAGCAGCATCATCACAATCAGCATCATCATTGTCATCATTACCATCATCATCAGAATTATCATCATCACATCATCGTCATCATCATCAACAACATCAGCATCATCATCATCGCCATCATCATCATCAGCAGCAGCATCGTCATCATCATCACAATCCTCCTCCTCATCATCATCGCCCATCATCACCCATCATCACCACCACCACCATCATCACCACCACCACCATCATCGTCGTCGTCATCATCACCACCACCATCACCACCAGCGTCGTCATCATCAGAATCATGACCACAATCATCATCATCATCATCATCATCATCATCATCATCATCATCATCATCATCATCAACCTCATCTTAACCGTCATTAATACCACCGTCGTTGGCATCGCCACCACCATCGTCGTCGTCCCAATAATTGCCACCACCACCCACCATCTACCCCCGCGGTTGGGCACGCTCCTCCGGGCTTGCC